ATCTGTCTACCTATCTTTATTATCAATATATCAAAATTGACGCTTACAATTCTATATATAAGAGACACAGAAGCGCGGAGAATAGCAAAGAAGTACAGAAAGAAAGAGGAGAACTGCGACCAGGAGTAGGATTAATTATATCCTCCGGCAGTAGATGTTCTAATTTGAATACCCATGCCCAACGACTTTGAAGTAAATGGAGATCGACCTGCGACACATCGATGACAATACCACGAGTTCCACTAGCTACGCGCCATGAAAGTAAATCACCATTTGAACCCAATAGTCTCACAACTGTACTTGATGAACTCAAAGGAGCTCCCAGTATTATTTCTGTTGTATTCTTTGGCCATATCAAAAGAAAAGCATACACAAATCTACCATCATGTGATGATGTATACCTACAAATGAGAAAGTAAGAAAGAAACTTTTTCATATTTCTCTCTGTCTAATTAGATCTACCAAACATCAGAATTAATTGTATCATTTTGATATTTCCATGGTATACTGCCGTAGATGCCTTCACCATTCACTTTCAACCATGAACCCATCTGTCGAAGACGCTCTTGAAATATTGGTGGAATCTTTCCATGCATATTAGGACCAACATTAATCAAAGCATTTCCTCCAGTACTAAACAAAAAAATAATAATAATAATAAATATCTTCTTGTCAACGTTTTCAAGAAAAAATAAAAATAACCTAATTGTGGTGACAACTTGTTTGAGTACTTCTTCAATTGTCATGTAATCTTCAATATTAGCAATAGGACGATATGCCCAAGAGCTTTTATCAATCTATTTAAGTAAATCTTACAAACAAGAAACACTATGTTTTTTTTTATCATACTGTGAAACAATTTTCCCATTTATGTTCAATTAAAATTCCTGGATTGTAACGATCCAAACAAGTATAGAAATCACCATGTTTACATAAAAGTTCACTACCCCATCGATCATTCACAACCTATTGAGAATCATCTCGACAATCTCTCTCTCATCATTAATCATAAAGACAATTTCTTTCTTACAACAGTCTCTTTCACAGGACTATCATTGTATAACCATGCTAAAAATCCAGTCGAATCCCAATAGGTATCACGTGGTTCTGTAAAATTGAATATCAATAGATTTGAAGAATAAATAAATAAATAAATAACTATCAATATGAACTAACCCCATTCACCATCTGACCAAACTATTTCAGGTTTGTATATTTCTACAGCTTCTTTTAGTTCTGGTATTGCTTTTGTCTATAAATACACATAGATGAATATTCTCTCTCTCTCTCGGACATAGTAAAACACTTACTTTTGAATAGTATTGAGTAGTAAAATTGTTAGATTTATCTCTTAGATACAATGGATTAAACCATTCGAACAATGAATAATACAAACCAAAAACAAGATTTGTTCGATTTCGAATAGCTGTAGCTAACTCTCCTTAGAAGAAGAAGAAAAAAAAGGTATTTTGTTGAGAAAATAGAGATGAGAAAAGAAAGATGTTTCGAACCAACTAAATCTCGTTTTGGACCAACATCCATTGAATTCCAATTAAATGAATATGTTGATGGCCACATAGCATATCCTTCATGATGCTGTTTTTTTGTAATAAAATGAAATAAAAGAAAAGCAAAAGGATTTAATGACTATTGTAATGTGAATGTAAACTGAGACTAACTTTACTAGTGAGAACAACATATCTAAGAGAGAGACAGAGAGAGAGAATATGAAATAGTTGTGTATGTAAAGAATGAAAAGTATTGATTTACTTTGCACCAGAAGCAGCAAAGAGGTCAGCCCATTCATTTGGATCTAGAATGTAGAAGAATAATCGATGATGTGCAATGAAGATCTCATGAATAATTCTCACTATAAAGATCTGCACGAAATTGTGGACCAAAATTTGCATAAGTCCAA